TGTGGCCCAAGAGAACTTGAATAGAATCACCTGTTACTCGGTATAGACTAGGTGTGCACGATTTAGGCTCGAAGAAGGCTCACCGGACCTTGGTCCGTTTTCTCTCAGGGTTGAGTGAATTTTTCTAAGCGTTTGGATGTCTTACTCTTATTCTTCAGAGTTAGAGCTATATTAATGAAGATAGTCCCTCAATTTGCATTAAAATATGCCAATTTGGCATTTTCTTCCCTCCTCACCTCATACTCCTTGGTATTGGTGCTAAGGTAAGATTGGGTGTGGCTTATCTGACCCTTAGCTGCCATTTCCTGGTGATAAAACTCAAGTTGCTCGGAAGAAAAAGTAAAAAATTGATTTGGGCCCCGATTGGGCCCTGCTGGTGCTAGGTCTGCACTGTGGGCTGCGCTGGCGGCCTGTGCGCTTCCTGCGCACTGGGCTGCACTGCGGGGCTCGCGGGCGCGCTGACTGCGGGGCCGTGTTGTGCTGCGCGCTGTGGGTCGTGTTAGGTTGTGCTATGGGACGCGCTGGGCCATGCTGCGGGGCTTGCTGGGCCGCGGCTGCGGGTTGTGCACTAGAACACCTGGGCTGCGCGCAAGCGTTGGGCCTCGGCTCGTTTTGAGTTCGATTCGACTTTGGTTTGGGGTTCGATTTTCTATAATAATTTGAATATACTTGGAATCGATCCTATCCCAACTTAAAATAATTTTTCTTCAACTTATGAAGGAAAATTTTTTCGAGACTTGTACTAAAAATTTATTCGGCTTTGAGGTGATGTTTCTTTCGAATTTTCTGGACTTAAATTGGAACGCGTAGTTTTATGAATTTCATAACTTATACTCTGAACTAAAATTGAGAATTTATTAATAAAAATTAGCTTTTAACTTGAAAGCAAATGACACCTAATTATTAATAAAATACTGGGATGTTACAACTGTCGACCCTCTCGAGATCAGCCTAGCTTCAGGGAGAAAGATAGTTATGAGTTCTCTGGCCAAGAATCTTAGCATTGATATCGGCGGTAGAACCCTAGGCGTAGACGCGTTTATGATTGAGATGAAGGATTTTGACCTGATTCTCGGTATGGATTAGTTGGTGAGGTACCGCGCAGACATTAGATGTCGTGACAGGGAGGTGACACTACACTAGACCGAGGGAGACCGCATCACGTTCTTAGGGACGAAGGCCCAAACCCTACCGTGTGTTATATCCATGGCGAAGGTGACGAAGTGTTTGCAGAGGGAGGACTGTCAGGATCCTTGTCAACATAGTTGAGGAGACTTCGGAGAAGCTGAAACCCGGATATATTACCATTGTTCGTGACTTCATGGACGTCTTTTCGGAATAGCTCCCAGGAGGACCACCTAACCGCCAGGTGGAGTTCACGATTGATCTAGTCCATGGAGCGGGACAAATATCTAAAACGTCGTATCTTATGGCGTCGAAGGAGCTTCAGGAGTTGAAGGCTCAAATTCAGAAACTGTTGAGTCTCGGTTTCATTCGAGCGAGCGTTTCACCTTGGGGAGCACCTGTCCTCTTTGTTAAGAAGAAGGATGGGACATTGCGTATGTGCATCAACTGCCGAGAATTGAACCGATTTACGGTGAAGAACAAATATCCGCTTCCCAGGATAGAGGACTTATTCTATCAGTTGAGGGGAGCCAGCGTGCTCTCGAAGATAGATCTTCAATCTGGTTGCCATCAGTTAAAAATCAAGGAGGCCGACGTGGCCAAGACAGCTTTCAAAACGAGATACGGTCACTTTGAGTTCGTGGTGATGCCGTTTGGCTTAAGTAATACGCCAACGGTGTTCATGGATCTCTTGAACCGTGGCTTCCATCCATTCTTGGGCCAGTTTGTCATCGTTTTCATTGATGACATATTGGTCTATTCGAGCCCAGAGCAGCATGAGTGTAACGCCCCATTTCATTTTTATTTATCATAGTGCATTTGCTCGACTATATAAATTGGAATATCTATTTGTATTTATTTGCCTTACATAATTTATATGTCTATTTGATGATTTTACATGCCAATGTGATTATTTGACTATATATTTTTATAATTTAATTCCTTAAGTATGTTATTTGTCATGAATTCCTATTCTTGCCGTAGAATTATTTACGTATGTTAATGTTCATGCCTTAGTAGTGCCATTATTTAAAATTATTGTGTGTTATTTTTTAATTGTTCATTATATGCCTTAAACACATAATTCTCATGCCTTAGAATTTTTATATAATTTGGGCATCATTAACTTAAACCATGAGACCATGCAGTACCCTTAGTACGGTTTGATTTTTTTTAAAGAAAAAGCATGAACCAAGTCATTTCCTTGTGTCCTATTTTTGTGGAACAACTTGCCACCTTAAGTCCCTCATCCGGTCAGCTCAAAGCTAGCAAGGAGGAGTTTGAATTGGTCCCTAACCAACCCCATAATATCGGCCCTCACCTCTCACTCATCTCTCCAATTCAGTTATATTTTTTTTAAAAAAACCACATTTATAACACCCATCATCTCCATCAGCTCTCAGTTACAATTCCATCAAAAAAGCCAAGAAAAATACTCCCAGCCCTCAGCAAATAACCGAGTAAGCACAAGAGGCAGTCAAGTCCGAGCCCAATCAACTCAATTCAACCCATCTTTGCCTTTCGGTTTTACCGGATTATAAGGTAATCCAAGACTAGACATTTAACCATTATTTTGGGACTGGGAACATGTAATTATATGTGTGTTATCATATGTTATTGAGCTGATTTGACGCTGCCCTTGAAATCATATGAAAATGCCTTGAAATGAATAAGTATGATATTTTCGGAATTCATGATACAGCAGCATGTTCGATTCGATTTTTGCCCTGTCTAATGTGTTCCAAAAATTATATAATTTTTGTGTTGATCCATAATTATGTTAAGAACAATACTGCTAAATTTCGGATTATTTAGATTGGAAATAAATTTTATAAAAATGTTTGATTGAGCTGTTGTCCGAAATAATTTTTGCGTAGTATTGTTGATTTGTGATCTTGTTTAGCCCTACCTATGAATAACCTGTTAGTTCAAGATTTTTATGATAAATTCTTATGTAAGTTGTGAGTATTTTCATTCAAATTTTGAGGTCATTTACACAAGTGTAGCCTGAGATATGAATTTTTGACTAATTCGAAAGCTCATATTCCAGCTGAAATTTATGTTGCTATATCTCAGTCCTCGGTTATCATTTTGACGTGAAATTTTTATGACATATTAGTATATGTGTTGAGAGCATTCCTGTTAAATTTCAGTTAAAAATAATGTGTATTGACCGAATAAGAATATGAGCGTTCAACATGTCGGTCTGGCTTTAGAAGTGTTATATCTCAGTTTATGCTTATGTTGTCGAATTGAAATTTTTTAAGAAGCATTGATGTATCAGATGTGATCATGCAGGTCATTTTTCAGCTGAAAATGTTAAGTATAGAATTTTATAGAAGTTCTTGAACCAGCAGGTGTCGACTTCATGTTTAAGTGTTATGTTTAGCTAATTGATTGACTCGCCTATAGTTGGCTTTTTGACTTGAAATTTTTACAGGAGTTTCATGTATGATTTGACTAATTTTTTGTTAACTTTTAGAATTTTATGATTTATGTATGATTTTATAAAAATCTTGGAGTGTAAGGGTTTGGTTCTCCTTATTTAGTCGAGGCAATTGGGAATCCTTTAACCAGTTCATAGTCCCTTTATATAAGGGTGATATAGCATAATATATGAACATTTAGATCACTCCTGTCAGTCAATATTGGGTTTTGTTTGTCGTATCTGCCTTATGTGAATTATTTGATTATTTGATTTTATCTGCCTTGTATGCCTTATATGTTTTATCTGTTGTGACTTCAAATAATAAGATAAAATTCATAACTGTAGATTAAACAAGGAATCGAGCCCTCATTCAGATGCACGTGCATTTTTCATCTAGTCAGTAAGTTTTAAAGGTGGGGATTTTCTATGCTATGTTCTAATTCTTAATAAACGCAAGGTACTTACAGCTGAGGTATGTCTATGAGTATTTACCTATGAGTGGGCATTGCCCGCGAGTGGGTACCAGGACAGGATCTCCCGCCGTGTGGGTCAGCGTTCGCGGTGGTGAGGTGTACACCTGAGATCGGTTTGCCGTGCCGTGTGGGTTAGCGTTCCCGGCCGGTAAACCAACAGATGAGTCATTTTATGAGACTATGATTTACTTATTTATATGTCAATGTTATCGGTACCTGTTTTTATCATGGATAATTGTATAGTATGGATTATTGATGAGCACGTTGATTATTGCTCAGCCCCCACAATTATCATTTTCAGGTTAGCATGCCGGGCGGGACTCAAGAGGGGCAAGTGGTGGTCATATACAGTTTATTTATTCCTTCCTCTATTGAACAGTTTATTTTCCGAACATGATATTATCAGCTATGTTGAACATTATTTGAATTCCAGTTTCAGTTTTTCAATTCATTTATCAGACTAGTATCGATCGCTCTACTAGGTCTTAATGAATTGAACATGTTTTATGCCGGGATTAGATATCCTGAAATAATTAAAAGCAGACGTGATAGAAAAGACAGTTACATGTTTAGTAAGTACCCTCCAAGCATGTTTTAAAAAGTTAAATTATTTTCAGAAAAGTCCGATTTATTTTTAAAACTATTATGTTTTCAATGTATAAGTAGAGGGGCTTACAGTTTGATATCAGAGCGCAGTTAGCGTTTCGGAATACTTTTGAAAAATATGACCACTCGCCACCTTGAGCCGCTCCGGAACCCAGGTATGAGTTAGTAAGTCAGTCATAGCACGTGCATGTTTATTTGGGGCTTAAAACTTATCCTCCTTAAGCAATTGAGAAATCTAGTCAAGTTCAAACATATGATTTGAGCTTTAACCAGCAGCATGGATAGGGAGGTAGAGCCCGTGTGTTCGCATTGACCCATGCTGAAGCAGAAAATAATCAAGGAGTCTAAATGCAGTCGATGCCCTAGAGGTCAGCCTAGCCTCGGGGAAGACGATTGTTATGAACACTATGGTGCATGAACTGAAGATGGACATCAGAGGACGAGACCTGGAAGCAGACACATACGTCATCAACATGAAGGACTTTGACATTATTCTAGGGATGGACTGGTTGACAAAATACCATGCCGATATCAGCTGCCACCAGTGAGAGGTGACATTGCATTTGCCAGGAGATAATCGGATCGTGTTTTTCAGAGCCCAGACTAGGACCGTACCCAGAGTCGTATCTAGCATGAAGGCAATGAGAGTCTTTAGAAGAGTGGTTGTTAGGGATATTTAGTGAGTACCGTCTGGAGCCAGAAGGAGGAACCGTATCCCGAGTCAGTGTCGATCGTTTGTGAATACCGTGACGTTTTTCCAAACGAGCTTCCAGGAGGGCCACCGAATAGACAAGAAGAGTTCACTATTGACCTGATCCCCAGAGTCGGACCAGTGTCAAAGGCACCATACAGGATGGCATCGAAGGAGCTGCAAGAGCTCAAAACCCAGATTCAAGAGTTGCTCAATCTCAGATTCATCCAACCGAGCATCTCGCCATGGGGTGCACCTGTACTTTTCGTGAAGAAGAAGGATGGAACGTTGAGAATGTGCATCGATTACCGGGAGCTGAACTGGTTGACCGTGAACAACAAGTATCCTCTTCCAAGAATAGAGGACCTCTTTGACCAGCTTAGGGGAGCGAGCGTATTTTCGAAGATTGATTTACGATCGAGCTACCATTAGTTGAAAATCAAGGAGGCAGACATATCAAAGACGGCGTTCAGAATGAGGTATGGTCACTATGAGTTTTTAGTGATGCTGTTCGGGTTCAGTAATGCACCGGCGATATTTATGGACTTGATGAATCCGGTCTTCCATCCATACTTAGACCGGCTTGTTATCGTTTTCATCTACGAAATCTTAGTTTACTCGAGAGACGCCGACCAACACATTGAGCATTTGAGGATCGTGCTGGAGACCCTTCGCAAAGAGAGGCTATATGTGAAATTTTCGAAGTGTGAATTCTGGCTGGACCGAGTCGCTTTCCTTGGTCACATTGTTACCGCTAAGGGAATCAAAGTGGATCCCAGCAAGATAGAGGCAGTAAACAATTAGAGTACACCGAAGAATGCCGGTGGGATTCGAAGTTTCTTGGGTCTTGCTGGTTACTAATGGAGGTTTATCGAGGGCTTCTCGAGAATAACTCAACCATTGACCCAGTTGACAAATAACGATACCAAGTTCGTGTGGACTTCCCAGTGCAAAGAGAGCTTTCAGATGTTGAAGGCTAAGTTGACCACCGCACGTGTGTTGACCATTCCCGACCCCACATTAGACTTCACCATCTATAGTGATGCTTCCAAACAAAGATTGGGTTGTGTGTTGATGTAGCAAGGAAAGGTAGTAGCTTATGCGTCAAGGCAGCTGAAGCCTCACGAGCAGAACTATCCGACACATGACTTGGAGCTTGCAGTAGTAGTCATGCATTGAAGATCTAGCGGCACTATCTCTAAGGAGGAAAGTGCGAGATTTTCACCGATCATAAGTGCCTGAAGTACATTTTCACGCATTATACGAGTGTAATGAATTTCACCCGACTCCTTCAACTCGAACGACCTCCGTACCTGCAGAACCCAACGCCGGGGGTGGCCCCGGCGTCGGGCCTCCGATGCCTAAGTCAGTGCTCAGATCAAGAGAGAGAAAGTGCAGTCATTGAATGAATAGAGAATGAGAGAATGAGGTACCTTGGCCCCCTTTTATAGGGGGAGTGTACCTTTTGGGCCCAAGTTGGGCCTGACCCCTATCGTTGGGCTTAGATGTCTTAGTGGGCTTATCCTCCAATATGTATCCGCTTTATCCATTAAACCGGGTCCAATATAATATCCTATATCATCTAGTCCCCCCCACTCTGGTCGAGTAAGCATAACTCGATCCAAGAGTGAAATGCCTCTTCGAGTTGTTTTCTTCAACTTGCCACTAAGATCGAGCATCGAAAGTCGAATGACCGTTGAATAACCACTGAAATATCCTCCAAATGAGCTTTGAGATCTCAAGATCGAAAACCGAAAGACCACGGAGGTCGGTAACCGAATGATCTGACGTCGGGGTCAAAAACCGAAAGATTTGTCAATAAGGACAAGAATCTAATGACTTGCCACTGAAGTCGAACACCAGAAGTCGAACGTCAACTGAGTTTGAAAACTGAATCGAGACCGCTGAGGTCGAAAATCGAGAATCAAGACCGCTGAGGTCGAAGACTGAGAGTCGAGAGACCGTTGAGGTCGAAAATTGAGAGTCGAGACAGTTGAGGTCAAAAATCAAGAGTCGAGAGACCGTTGAGGTCAAATATCAAGAGTCGAGACGGCTGAGGTTGAAAACAGAGAGTCGAGACCGTTGAGGTCGAAAACTGAGAGTCGAGAGACCGCTGAGGTTGAAAGCCGAGAGTCGAAACTGCTAAGGTCGAAAATCGAGAGTCGAGACCGTTGAGGTCAAAAACCGAGAATCGAGAGGCCGTTGAGGTCGAAAGCCGAGAGTCGAGACCGCTGAGGTCGAAAACCGAGAGTCGAGACCGCTGAGGTCAAAAGCCGAGAGTGGAGAGACCGCGCTGAGGTCAGAAACCGAGAATCGAGAGACCGTTGAGGTCAAAAACTGAGAATCGAGAGACTGTTGAGGTTAAAAATCAAGATTCGAGAGACCGTTGAGGTCGAAAATCGAGAGTCGAGACTGCTGAGGTCGAAAACCAAGAGTCGAGACCATTGAGGTCGAAAACCGAGAGTCGAGAGACCGCTGAGGTCGAAAGCCAAGAGTCGAGACCGCTGAGGTCGAAAACCAAGAGTCGAGACCGTTGAGGTCAAAAACCGAGAGTCGAGACCACTGAGGTCGAAAACCGAGAGTCAAGACCGCTGAGGTCGAAAACCGAGAGTCGAGACTGTTGAGGTCGAAAACCTAGAGTCGAGAGACCGCTGAAGTCGAAAGCCGAGAGTCGAGACCGTTGAGGTCGAAAACGGAGAGTCGAGACTGTTGAGGTCGAAAACTGAGAGTCGAGAGACCGCTGAGGTCGAAAGCCGAGAGACGAGACCACTGAGGTAAAAAACCGAGAGTCGAGACTGCTGAGGTTGAAAACCGAGAGTGGAGAGACCGTTGAGGTCAAAAATCGAGAGTCGAGACCGCTGAGGTCAAAAACCGAGAGTCGAGACCGTTGAGGTCGAAAACCGAGAGTCGAGAGACTGCTGAGGTCGAAAGCCGAGAGTCGAGACCGCTGAGGTCGTAAACCGAGAGTCGAGACCGTTGAGGTCAAAAACTGAGAATCGAGAGACCGTTGAGGTTGAAAGCCGAGAGTCGAGACTGCTGAGGTCGAAAACCGAGAATCGAGAGACCGTTGAGGTCAAAAACCGAGAATCGAGAGACAGTTGAGGTCAAAATTGAGATTCGAGAGACAGTTGAGGTCGAAAATCGAGAGTCGAGACCGCTGAGGTAAAAAACCGAGAGTCGAGACCGTTGCAGTCGAAAACCGAGAGTCGAGAGACCGCTGAGGTCGAAAGCTGAGAGTCGAGACTGCTGAGGTCGAAAATCGAGAGTCGAGACCGTTGAGGTCGAAAACCGAGAGTCGAGACCGCTGAGGTCGAAAACCGAGCGTGAAGAGACTGTTGAGGTCAAAAACTGAGAATCGAAAGACCCCGGATAATCGCCGGTGTGGTCGAAGGACATGAACTGAATGACCATTCCCTGAACTCTTGAATTTGAAAATTTGAATTTACGTCTGTTGTGTTTTGATCACCATGTTCGAGCTCTCTTATACCACCTCGTCCTATCGCCCCTCAGTTCAAAAGTTAAAATTCAAGCCTGCTGTATATTCCTTTGAAAAATAAACTCGACAAACCAGAATCAACAAATCAACCACCTACTCGAGCAATAGTGAATATACTCGGCCTGCCACGGAGGTCGAAAAATCAATTCGACAAAACCAAGATAAAACGCAATCAACCTGCTCGTGACGGAATAAATTCCATCTCTCTGCCTTTAAAGTCGCAAAATCAATTCGACAAAACCAAGATAAAATGCAATCAACCAGCTCGTGACGGAATCAATCCCATCTCCCTACCTTTGAAGTCGAAAAATCAATTCGACAAAACCAAGATAAAATGCAATCAACCTGCTCGTGACGGAATGAATCCCATCTCCCTGTCTTTGAAGTCGAAAAATCAATTCGACAAAACCAAGATAAAATGCAATCAACCTGATCGTGACGGAATGAATTGTTGGGGTATACAGTAAAGCAAACTTTTATGTGAGCTTTTGGATTGTATTTAT